TTTTGATTGAAAACCCCTTAAATGCCCTGAACAGAGTCATTAACAAAAAACAGAAAAATGGGGAAAATACGAATAAAATGCACCACATTTATTTTCGGTTATTTATACGAAGGCAGCCCCAAGCATTTAGTTTTGGCAATAAAAGAACTCTTCGTCTGCGAGAATTTATGCATTTGGGGTCGGCCCAATCGAACCCAATCCACAGATTACCCATTACCCCTCGGCCATTACCCATTACCCATTTTGCATTTGCCAGGACAACTCTTTCTGGCCTTCTTATCTCCGCCCGACTGGCCTTCGATTTTTATGTGCATCTCAGGCCCAGATAAGCCCTGAAATATGGCCAGTCTCGGCCTGGTCAATGTCTTAAAGCGAGTCCAATCCAAGTGGGAGCAGCTGCAGCTCCTGCTCGGACTATCAGCCACCGAATCTCAATTAACATAATTCACCTAGACCAACGTGGATGTGGGGGTCTTGACTGGCATTCCCGCTCATAAACTAACAGTTTCGGTAGGAATTGTCGCCCCCAGATAGCAGCTTCCCTAAACAGGATCCGAGTTTCAACCCGGACATGAGTTCAGCTCGGTAAGAAGGGGAGCGGCTCATCTGCTTGGTAGATGAACATTGAAAAAAATAGTTCTTAAGTTCGGAATATTAGGTTTAGGTAGTGTCGCTTTACTTGGAGTTATATTTTGTATGTAATTTTAATTATTCCCGTTAGATGCCAAAAAAAATGTATTCTGTAAAACATAATAGTTAAATATTTATTCAAATATTTTACATTTAAATTTCCATACCGGTTTGGTGCATTAAATTAAAAAAAAGGTTTTATTTTTAAATCAAAGACAATTTATAACTGATTGGTTTTTTTACAGAACATGTACTTAGTATTCTTTTTTTAAATATATATATTCAATATTATAAATATTATAAAGTGTTTTATTATTTTAAATTTTATTTTAATTTCCATCCCGTATTTTCTATGTTCATTAAATCGAATTTAATTAATCTCCATGAAATAAAAATATTAGTTTTATTTTTAAAGCAAGAACAATTTATAATTGGTAGAAATAGAGACCTTTAATTTTCAAGATGTACAAATGAAAAAATACAAAATGGAATTTTATTTTTAAAACTAGTATTTCCCTCCAAAAATGGTCAAAGAAACGTACCTTCAAATGTGTACTAAAATAGTCAAAACAATATTTATTTTGCAAATTCCTTACCATTTATCAAAAGTACAGGGAAGTCTTCGTTTGTGTTCATTTATTTCTGTCTCTGTGGAGCTATCGGCGAAGTGCTGGAGAGTTGGAGAACTCGCTCATTGTCAAAGTGGAAATTGTGTTCATAAATCAGAAACTGTCGCACATGTGTGACACCCGAAACCTCCGAACTCCCATTCCCACTCCCACTCCCCCTGTTTATTGTGTTGTCAATTTGCTGCGCTCGTTGGCTTTCTGGCTGCGATGGCGTAATTAGATTTCGGCCTGGTCTAGTCGCCTCCGTTCGGTTCGGTTCGGATTGGTTTGGTTTGGCCGGGATAGACGGTGGCTGGGGAATGGGCTGATGAGAAGCTAACCACGAAAACGGGAAGTGTCGGACAATTAAGGCAGCTCGGGAGGCCAGCAGGGAGATCCTGATCTGGCGAATGAAGGAAGCTGCGAGCGAGTCAATTAAAACGTTCGATCCGATGATCGCTATCGATGTCGCAATTTCCTCAAAACCAAATGACCAACTGTCCAAGTTTTGAACCAGCCAGCTAAGCAATTTGAAGGCAATTAAGTGGCTGGAATGGCATGGCCATTGTCAAAACTGGAACATCCATTGAGCCATTGGCTCAACCAGTTAACCGGGATGAGCGGCTGGAAGCGTCAACGGAGTCACACATTTGGCCAGCAATTGTTGCCCCTGATTCGGGCTCGGAGTCACTTTGTTAGTTGGCTAAACTTCCGCACAAATAAAGCTAAAGTCTGGAGGAGATGGAGCCGGGAGATGGCGGCGATGACTGCATCCGCAATGCAACTTTCTGTGTGAGATTTCCGCCTATTGCAGCTGCAACTGGCGACTCATATGGCGGCGAACAGGGGGTTCCCGGCCCGGGGAGGGGCTCCTCCAACTTCTGGCGCATCTTCGGTGTCTGAATTTATTACGAGATTGCAAATCTCCACCGCGATTACAGCAATTATGTGGCTTTCGGAAGGAGGCTGGCACATTGCCAGAGGAACGTGCCAGAGCTGGGGAATCTTATTTTGTCAGAGGGTTAACGGAAATGAGGGTTGCGAAATATTACTTGCATTTTTATAATACAGATAAAAGGAATTTAATTTAAGAAATAAGATATAACGATAATCATTTAAAATACAATATTTTTCAATAGTCTTAGACATTCTGATATTTTGGGTGAAGTAAATTTGAATCATGTTTTATTCACAAAAAAATATTTTTAAAAACCTAAATTAATTTATTTATTTACTGCATTCTGAAATTGGTTCGAAATTAAAATAAAACAAGAAACAAAATGTAGTTACAAAATATAAAAACGATAAAGATTTATTTTGCAAAAATATTATTATTATTCTTATTTTTATTTAGTGTTATTATTTATTATTCATATTTTAATTGATAATTTTTCACTTGCATTTTTCCCCCTTCGACTTTAATGGCTTGCTATACTAGGCCCCTGCCCGCTTACATGGCTTTCCTCTAATAACTCAATTTCAACACCAGCCAAAACAAATGTGAAAGTGCCAAGCGTCGCCTCCTCGCACCGCCTCCCTGCTGCTAACCACCAATCATAGCCAAAAATCCCCAATCGGCTCAGCATCTGGCCCAGGTTTGATGCACTCGACTAGATAGCCCGACCTCGGCACTCCAAGCCACTTTAAAGTCCCACAATGGGCTGCAATAAAATAAAATAAAGATAATTTGTCAGCTACTTCATCGGCGGCAGCGCGTGCGTGACTCGCGGTTGCCTGTTGCATAATATCTGCAGTTGAACTTTCCCAGGGGCTAGGATCCCTCCCCCTCCAAAGGGGATAAGTTCTTCCTATAAATCACATAATCAGGAAAACCTTATAGGAAATGCGTGGCCAGGCATTTCAGCTGTTGCCATTAATAAATTAATTATACAACCATGACGGCACTGAGTTCAGTTTTATCCCCAGTCACACGCACACGAGACTAGTGAAAAACACAAGAAATGCACACAAATGGAAAAAAAACTTGAACATTTTTTGTCATCAGCGCAACAACAACAGCAAAACTTGTACAAATATTGTGCAAATGTTGATGGTCAAAAGTTGGCTGACGCCTTGGCCAAAGCCATGGCCAAAAAAGCAGCTCGAATGGCAGCCAGCTAAAACACAAATATCAAGTGAGTGGGGGAAGCTATCCATTTTTAAAAAGCGAACAAGATATGCTCTATACCAAAAATCAAATGTTCATCACCAAGGGAAATTTAATGATAACGAAATAATATTCATTTAAAATTAGAAAATATGTTTATTTTCAAAGGAATATATTTAATTAATATATTATGGCAAATAAGCAACTATTTAGCACCAAAGACTCCCATAATTTCCATTTCTACCAACAGATTGGAATGCAAATGCATTTCCCCGAGCAAATCCCAAATTCGACTTCCTTCTGAGCGTTGCAAATTTAATCATCAGCTTATTATGCCGCACAGAAAAAAATACACAAAAAAGAAATATGGAAAATGGAATAGCAACACACCAGACCAGGCCAAGTCTGCTGGATGGCAAAGGAAAATGGGAAAAGCGAGGCAACAACAAACCGGCCGTCTACGTGAAAACTGCGCGGCCCGAACACACACAAAACTCAAGTGGCGCGAAAATTCGAGGCACAGTTGCAGCAGCAGCGCGCAAGCGTGCGGTTTTCCTCCACAGTTTTTCCAGCCAAAAGTAAACAAGGCAAAACGAAACGAAAACTCAAATTAAAAGTCGCATTAAATAAATGAGAAACGAACGAGGACTGCGACGAGCAAGTTTAAACAAAGCTCAAAGACAAAGTTGAATGAAATAGTCAAAGTTTGCTTTTTTCCGCAAAGGATATGACAATATAATTTTGGAAAAAAGAAACAAGACTTTTATTACATTTCTCACAAGTGCTGGCTAACAAGAATAATATATTATAACAATTTAAATAAATTACAAATACACGCTAAACTAAAAGTTGAACAATAAGCTATTACAGGATGGTGGTATCAAAATGTCTAAAGTGAAACTTATCAGTGAAAACTTCGTTGAAATAAACTCATTCCTCTGAGGACATTTTAAATGCATAATTCAAATATAATATGAATAACATTCTTTGCCAATTTCTTTTAAAAAATTATATTGTTTTATTATAATAGAAAACACCAGAATAATTTTTTTTAAGTTTATATTAGGGTATATTTTGTGTAGGTCATAACATAACATATTATTTGACTATGACAAAAGCCAATAATATTAGAAGTTAAAAAATGCATATAAAGTTATTATCAAATTTCTCATAAGGGAAAAAGGGTTTAATAAGTCTTATGGGTTCCTTTAAGCAAATAAATAAATGCATTTTAACAGACTTTAAAATATATTTACAAATTGCTTAAAATCAAAACAGTATGTTTCATATAAGCCTTTTTATAAAACCACCAAAACCTCTCATTAAAATTACCAGCATTTAGATAATAATGCAAGAGGTTATTGAAAACAATGCAAGAGTTTAAATAGCATTTTTCGCAATTAACTCCTGTCATAGCTTACCAAACTCCACAAATACTTTGCCAGGCATAACAAACAATAAAGTTCAACGCTGAAAAATAGCAAGTTAAAGAAAGGCAGCGTGGGAGAGTAACAGAAATTTAAACAACAATTACAAATTGAGCTGCCACTTTTGTGGAAACGCGAAAAGTGCAACGTGCAACGTGCAACTTGACGCCTCATTTGCCCGAACTTCCGCCGCCGTCCGACAACCGAGGCGACCCAAGGAAAATGGAAATGAAAATGGCTATCTGTGGCGCCAGCCCCACCTTAATGGTAAGTGCACGGGGTTCATCATTCTGAAATTTTAATATAAATAACCGACAACTGCAAGGGCCATCGAGGCGTGAAAACAACAAGCGCCCGCGGAGATTCTTCGGGGCGAAAATGGCCTGGGAAAAATGTCGGCCGCGGCTGCGATTTTCATTTTCTGGCCAGGAAATGGACGATCCAGTCATTCCATATGGCCTCCTCTTTCCTGGCACGCACATTTTGCAAATAATTTATTTTCATTGCACTTGAACTTCAATTAGCCAGGAAACAGTGGCGCTCGGTATCTGGGGTCTGGGGCCACAACTTTTCCAGCACTCATTTAATTACCAGCCATAAAAATCATAAACCGAATGCGAATATTTCAAAGTCTTTTTGGCCACATTCGTTGCGCAACTGGCATTGATTGTTTCGCTTTGTGGCGGGCTCTCTTGATTTTATGACCCCGGCTTTATGAAGGCTCGCCGTGGTTATCTAACCGAATCGCAATCGGAATCCATATCCAAGTGCCGGGCGAAAGGAAAATGCAGCCACATTTGCAATCGAAACTGGAAATTTGCAATTTAAGTGGATGGAAAAAAGTTTTCTGCTATTGCTGGCATTTCTTTTGAGGCGAGTTTCCTTGTGGCCAGGAAGTACCATCCCACCCCGCCCTCTCCCTCTCCCACTCTCTTTTTAGACCAGTCAAGTCTTTTATGTGCATTGAACTTGACTTTGCCTGGGGTTTTGGCCAAGGAAAAAGAGCGAACTGGTTCTAACTGCCGCCACTGCAGTTGGTAACTTCCACCGCCAGCGCCACAGCCAACAATTAGCCCAAGCTGTGCCTTTTGCCTGCTCCCATTTCTTCTGGTGCCTCGACTTGGTCTTGGCTCTTGGTCTTGGCTCTTGGCCCACTCCCCTGTTTTAGTCTGGTCTGGGAACAGTGAGCCACGTTTTTCCGCCCTGTTGCATATAACAAGAGGCGATGCCGTAAGCGCATATTGCAGCCAACAATTATACAAACTTGTGGCCAAACAGCAATTACAGAAACCATTTAATGAAGCAACCTGCTCGCCTTGGTGGAAAGCAAAATAGAACAATACAGTTTGGGGGTGAGAAATTGATGTATTGATTGCTTTAAAAAAACTGCGAAAAAGGGCTAAGCATTTAAAACTTTTTTATCTGAAAAGTATTTTATTAAATTAAATTAAAGCCACAATCTTTTATATCCCCTTTGATTGAACAAAACTTGATTTCCTTTTAGCTGAGAAGCAAAGAGGTCATCAAAAGTCAGTTAAATTGCTTTACCAATTTTATCACCTCAGCACAGACTCAAAACAACACTTTTGTTATTTGTTATTTGTCTTGTAAAATAAACCGACAGCTATAAAAGCCTTTTCAGCACTTTTAAATTGCCAGTGCAATAAATATATCTTGTAAGCAGCCGTAAAACGCAACAGCCAATGGTAAATATTCAATTTAATCAAACTTTAGCTCTCAGTGCAAATATTAAAGTTTCAATTTCGAAACAAATGTCAAAACAAACGAAAACTTTTCAAATGCAATGCAGATGGACGAAGAAGTCCTGTTCCTTTCGCCTCTTAGCGGCTCGTAAAGGAATTGTTAACTAGTTTTCGCAGCACTTTTAAGGCCATAAAATCCAACTGAGCAAACAGAAACAGAAACTGAAACGCAAATAGCAACAATTTTTATCGCTCCTTTTCTATTGAATTTTAAAACGAATCCAGCGCGTGTTTCAGCTGGAATGAAAAGACACTTTTTCCGAGCAGGGAAATAAACCCAGAATAAAAGACCACCCGCCCCCCGAAAGTGTTAAATAGAAAGCACATAAAATTTTATGCAACCCAACTGTGCGGCCTGAGGTTGTGTGTATTTCCTCCGTATAGAAAACGCGATGCAGTCGCCAGGTTACTAGGCTCAAAGGGTGGGCTTAGGGAGGCGTAGCAAGGGGGGCGTGGCCATATGATGCTGCCATTTGGAGGGGGTGTCAACTTCATAAAAATTCACTCAGGCGCAGTTTTAACGGCCGTTAAATGTTTACGCGGCTGCATTTTTAACGACCGTTGACAGTTCATTTGGATTTAGTTCGATGGGCTTAGTTAAAGAACTGCTGAGCTAAGTCGCTTGGGTCCCTAGAGTTTATCAGACTGGCTGGTTTAAGTTCAGTTCCTGCTACTGAGCCATCAAAATGCCAACACAACTTTCTTATCGCGGTCCATCGCGAAATGTAAGTTAATGATACAGCTGGATGCAACATTGCATCACTGGCCAAACCGATTCGAATACCATAATTGGTCTTACGTAAAACGAGAGTGCCAGTAAAGCAATTGAAATCGAGCATCGATGAGTTTAATGGCCATAAAAGCCAAGTTCAACATGTTGACGTGAAAGTGGCGGCCAGGCGAACACCCAACTTCCATCGAGGAGAGCGCGTGCGCAACTCGTTTTATTTGTTTATGTTTCTTTTTTTCTTTTGAGGCTCCAAATCGAAGCCGAGAATTGAGCTGAGCCAAAGCCAGGTTCCAGTTGCAGTTGGACTTGCAGCTTCCGTCCAAATGCGGCTGGGTGGAAAGTGAAAGTGGGCAGACGACCAAATAGCAGGTGGACGGGACGGGTGGACATATTCGGATTATTTATGGGTCTTTTTTTTGTAAGCAAAGTTGGTTCAACCCTCGCAGATGGTCATAAATTATTGTTCATGATCGCGCCAAGATGAAATTACCAACTAAATTGATCTAATCGAATTTTATGAAAACAAAAGACTTTTACACATCTGTAAAAATTGCCTTTGGTTGGTTTTGCAAATTTTGTATACACTAGCAGATACTAGCCAGCTTTACAAAAAGAGTAGATCAATCCACTTATTTCAAATTATTAAGAAAATTAAAAAAAGTTTTATTTTATTTTTGTAAGTTTGTAGAAAAATGTGAATTAAGAACAATAAATTAGGCAGATATCCAACATTATCCGACATTAAGTAATTGAACGTAGACCTAAAAACAGGACATTTGTCAGAGTTTTGGGTTCACAAAATATGATTTTATAATTATAATTGAGTTTATATTTAATGTGGATTGCTTAAGTGTAATATTCCTAACAAATTCTCTCTTTTCTTGTTTAGGTACTGATCCTGACTTTGATTCTGACATTTGGTCAAGCTACGGACACCTGGCAGCGCTTACCTTCTTTGGAAACCTTCTCCTCATATGAGGTAAAAACTCGAAATCAAAACCACATGAATTTCTAACAAAAAATCCAATATCTTTCCAGGATATGCAGCGTTACTTTGATCAGCGTAATTTCCGTAGCATGCGGCACATTGACAATCCCACCGACGATAGTTACCTGGCGGCATTCAACCAGTACAACGAGCAGCTGGAGGATCAGGCACCGAAACGGGGGACCCACTCCCATTCCAGGATAAAACGGGAACAGCGCCAACTGCCCACGGCACCAAGGATGCTGCGCTTTGAACTAGCAGATGCCGTGGAACCGAATCCGGAACTCAAGCAAATCCTACGCCAATATCATGCCAGAGCCTTGAAGGAGAATCCCACGCCTGTGAGTTCGGTCAGTACAACTCAGGAACCAGCTGTCAGCACCACCAAGGCCACAAAGGCTAAGTCCCGAAAACCTCGTCGTCTAAGACGATCAGTTATCGGCAGCCAGCAGCCGGCGGATTTTAAGGTTCAGATGATTCCCTTCGAGGAAACAGATGCCAGGGAACCCGATCCCGTGACAGCTCAGCTGATCAAGAAGGCTCGCACCCTGGATCTTCAGAGCCAGGCCACCAGATCTTCTGACTTTCACCAGCTGAAACCCCAAGTGGCCAGAAAGCAACCGTTCCAGGTGAGGATTCGCAAGACAAAGCGCTCCAAGCGCTCGGCTCCGCAGATGATCAAGTTTGAGTTGTCGGACGCCAAACCCTTGTCACAAAGGGCGGGAAAACAATTGCAGTCCGAAGTTGTACCCACTCTCCTGACAATGGAAACGCAGGCCAGGAACAGGACCCAGTCTCCTCCGTTGACCACACCCACTCCTCGGGTCGAGGACAATGACATACTGACGGGTGAGGCCACGGCGGAAACCAAGCGCATGTATGTCTACAAGGAGTCACCTCTCTCTTCGGGACATGTGAAGACCAAGAAGTCACTGAGCGCCCTGCCCCACGAAGTGCAAAAGGTCATTGGCCAGCTGATGAAGGATGGACATGGTGGCAAGGCGTATGTCAAGTATCTTCCTGCCCAGAAATCCGAGTACGAACACTACAAGGCTAAGCCTTTGTCTTATGGACTTTCCAAGCCTTTGGGTAACTATGTGAAGTACATCCAGAAACCGGCAGAACCTTCGGCTGCTCCGGCTCCCGTCCAAGTGCACATCCAACCGGTTCCGGTGGTAGAACAACTGCGCTATGTCTACAAGCCCGGCTATGTGGCAGCTGCCCCGACAATAGCCCAACCCATTGTGGTCCAGGAGGCGCCAGCTCCCACCACCGTTGCAGTGGAGGAAGTGCACCACACGTACACCGCAGAGCTGGCACCGCCGCCCACCCAAAATCTGGATGTGATTGTGCCGCAATTCAGGCCTTCCAAGCCAGATCCCCTGCTGGCCGAAGCTCCGGCCGCCATCTACGGAAAGCCCCAGGAGTCCTACAACTACGAGGAGGCCTCGCCCCTCATCCAGATCGAGTACCATGCCCAGCCGAACGACATCAAGGAGCACTACAAGCAGCTGCCGGAGTTCCAGCAGCTGTCCACCCTCATTGGCAAGTCGCCGGATGATCAGATCCACGGGTTGACCTACCTGCTTGCCAAGGAAATGCAGGCCAAGTTGCAGAGGCAGGGCAAACAGCTGGTGGATCGCCCGCAGGATAACACGGCACCGATTCTCTTCCACCCGGGCCAGGGACCCTCCCCGGCGCCCACTCTCAAAACTCTGTTGGATCACGGCTCCCTGGGCGTCCAGCCGGGTCGCCTGATCGGCATGGCCAAGACCAAGCAGTATGTGCCCATTATCGAGCCGGGGAACAACGATGTCAAGGAGCTGCCTGCCGTCTCCAGCAGCGAGGCCTCCAAGCTGCCCACACCCAGTTCCTACATCGATTACACTCACGGCCACGGGCTGTCCAATGGCTATGAAGGCGTGGCCAATGTGGAGGAGCCGGTGACGACGGTGGAGCATGTGGTTCACCACCCCACGGTGGCCACGCAGCTGCTTCAGGTCCATCAGGTCCAGCACCCAAGTCCGCAGCAGCACCACCAACATCAACACCAACAGCACATCCAGCAGCCGCAGCACCACGGACTTGTGGCCACTGTCCTGCCGGCGGAACTGGATGCGGACAAGGGCGTGAATGGACTGCACTTTGTGCACAGCCAGGAGGATAAGTCGGTGAGTGAAGATGGGAGACTTAAGAGCCTTGGACTTACTTACCCCTCAAATATTATGCGGTGGCAGGCGGACTTTCCTAAGGTGAATTTCTTGAACCCCAACCCCAAAGGAATTTGCTAAATTAATATAATTAAGAAGAAAGAACGACTTAAAAATACCACCCTTTAGATATATTTAAATTTTGATTGCTATAATATAATTTCATAAATAATTATTACGGAAAATACCTACCAAATCAACAAAATAATATTATTATTAATCAATGTGGTTTTTTTTTTTGCGAACTTGTTAAAATTTTAAATTAATTTATTGAAATATCTCCATTTCCACTCTCCTTATACTTATCGTATTAAACTTAAATCCCATAATTTTCCCTACCAAAGAACCTTAATGTGTTACCAATTTGGTTCCTTCCTGAGCAAGTTCCACTGTAGTACGACAAGCAGGCCCCCCGAATGCATTAAATTAAAGCATACCTTGGGGCGCTCGATAAAAGGCTTAGCGTTCTCCCGAAAGCGTGCCCCATTGATTGGCATTGGCATTGGCATAGGCAAAAACACAATCAGCATAAATAAGACGAGCTGGGGCGGCCACAAACAAACACGGTGCCAGACGGATAGACACTCCATTGCACGACATTGCGGCAGTCACAACAATGGAATCCCCTGCAGCAGGGACTTCGCAGGGACTCCGACTCCCAGCTCACCTCAGCACAACCTTTTAAACCCACCCCACCCATACCCCCAAGTATCCGCTCTGTGTGCAATTCAGTTTGATTGCCGATCCATGTCTCGCCGGTAATGCACTTAATCGAATAATTTTCAAGTTCGACAAGCATTTTCAATGTCGTTAGCCAGGCTCCCTCCCACCACCCCCTTTCTTCAGCCCCATCCCGCCTATCCATCGTCTGGTACCTGGCAACACAGCCACAAAAGCAATGCAAACGACTTCGTCTTTCATTACTACATAGTACTATCCATTCGACTGCAGTCTGCAAGTGCACTCAGAAAAACAGGCTATTTTCTTGAAATGAATTTTATATTTTCCATGCTCATTGGTCCTGTTTTTGAATATTATATTTAAAGCAAGTTATAATAAAGCACACGCGTATATAAAAATCAATAAAAACCATTGATCCTATAACATCAGCTTAAAAATTGTCTTAATTTTCCATGTTAATGAGTTAATATTCACAGACAAGAGAGAGCACACTTATTTAATACCGTTTTCTCATCCGCAAGTTAAACTTAAAGTAGGCGTTAAGCTTTAAATTCCGTTAAGCTTTTAAATTAATTTTAAAACCAACTTTAAATTTAAGGACATTTCCTTCCTGGTCGAAAAAAATGTCCCTTAGTTTAGTTCTTTACAAAATCGGTTTTTTTATCATCTGCGTGTTAAATTAAAAATAGGATTTAAACTATGAATTCCAATGCGGTTTCAAGTTTCAAACCCCATTTAAAATTTAACATACGAATGAGAAAACGGCCCGTAATCCACGTAATTTCTAGTTCAGAATTATTTTCGCCGAAGTGTATGTGTGTCGGGCCGACATTTTGGGGCGCTGTCTGGACCAATTGATATAGATATATGGCAGCTGATACGGTATATATTCATTTGGCCAACCTCAAGCACTTGGAGCGTGTGCCAGGGAAAAGCACTCCACTCCACATGCGTCTCGGAATTAACATTTTCTTTCACTGGCGGAAAAACTTTCGCGCAGCTTGGGGTTTCCTGAATTTAATTTATCTGTATTTCTTTGGCGAACCAGAAGGCAAAGTCCCGGGCAATGGTGCGTCTTTGTGCGCAGCCAGGCAAAAGGCCACGAAAAGTGTCTTGGAAATGCGAAATGAGCAGAGTGTGTGTGCAGAGTCACCAGACACACCTGCGAAGGGGGATTGAAAAGGAAGTACAGCAGGTGAGGACAAGCCCGTTAAAAAAGCGAGTTTAAGGACACCAAAGGCAGCGATACTCGTATTAAAATACGACTAGAAAGAAATGAGCGGAGTATTCAATTTATCGAATATATTTGTTCTGTTACTTTTTGTTAAGTTTAAATACTCAAAGACAGAACTTACTTAAACTTAAGATTACTTATCTTTCAGTTTTTCCCAAGCATCAACATACTTTTTAGTTTTATGTCAGTACTTGGAAATCTTAGATTTATCCCTATGAAACCTTTTCTTGCCAATATATGAATTTTGGGCAGACTTCCGTATTGAACTCTTGATTTTTAGTGTTAAATTTCTAAACTACGAAGATATTTCTCTCCCATAAAACCAAACAATAGAGTAAACCACAATTTGACGCCGAAAAAATCTTTGATTTACTTGAAAATATCAAAACAAACTATAACACTTGGCCGAAACAACTTCGACCAGTCGTCAAGCACTTATTACAGGGCAACAGAACCACCGCAGCCAGCCCTTGGACGCCACTTGATCTCACTTCATTTCCGGACAGGCCATTTGGTAGACGAACTGAACGAGTGTGCGGGTGGGTCGTCCGGTCATGCGCTTCTTGGTCAGGTAGGGCACCAGTCCGTACTTGGTGAGCAGACCAGTGCCGCGGGTATCCAGATGCGCCCAGTCCACGCAGGGCACCAGTTCGTGGAGGATGGCTGCCGCCAGGCAGGAGGAGGCCAGTCCCCTGCCGTTGTTGCTCAGATCGAAGGAGCGCTCGTCGGTGACCTGGCGCCTGTAGTACTGCCACAGGGGCAGGCGCCACACGCGATCGCCGGAAATGGAGCCGGCCCGCTGGAACTGCTTCCAGATGTAATGCGAGTTGGACCAGATGCCGGTGGCGCCGCCGCCAAAGGCCTTCTTCACGCCCGTGTTCAAGGTGGCTATGTCCACCACCAGCCGGGGCAGATAGGTCTTCTGTCCGTAGAGCAGGGGATCCGAGAGCACCACCACACCGGCCTTGTCCAGATCCCGCACGGCCATCGACTTGCCATTGAGCAGGGTGACCACATCGCCGGGTTTCGCCGACATTCCCGAGGGCATGTTCTCGCACAGCGGAATGATGCAGGTCACGTTGATGGGCAGCGACAGGGCGGCGATGCACCGCATCATGGCCACGCAGCAGGCGGCGGCCGACATGCTGCCCCGGTACTCGTCCATGCCCTTGCAGGGCCGCAGATTGAGTGCCCCCGAGTTGAAGGTGATGCCCTTGCCCACGAACAGGATGGGCTTGTCGTCGGGCGCCGTGCCGCAGTAGCTCAGCTCGAGCAGCACGGGCGGCTCGCAGCTGCCCTTGGCGATCATCAGGAAGGCGTTCAGCCGCTGCGCCTCGATCCAGTCCATGGTCCGCACCTCGACGGTAATGCCACAGGGACACAGGGCGTCCACGGTGGCCTGGGCAAACATGGTGGGCGTCATGCAGTTGGCCGGGGCGTCGCTCAGACGCCTCGCCAGATTCTGCGCCTCCGCCTTGAAGATGCCCCGCGTCCAGCCCTCGTGATCCGGCGACTCGAAGAGCTCCAGGGTCGGTACCAGCGGCATGTTCTTCTTGGACAGATTGTCCGGGAACCGCCAGACGGCCAGCTGTGAGCCCTCGGCCGCCTGCTCCGCATAGTCCATGCCGTCCACCAAGACATTGGTGATTCCCTGCTGCTGCAATGACCTGGCTCCCACGCCGGCGGCCACGCGCACAAACTCCATTCCCTCGTCCAGCATCTCCAGCTCATTGAATCCGATCCCCTCCAGACCCACGCCCACCACCGCAACGGCCGCGAACTCAGAGTCGATGTTGTGGAACACCTTGCCGCGTCCCAGCCGTCCGTCCAGCTTCGTCTCGCAGATCACCTTCATCAGCTTGCCGTGCACTCGCTGGTCAATCTTCTGGCCCGCCGGCGTCAGCTTGGGATCCTTGTCGCCCTCCTTCTGGTACAGGCCCACGACCACGCCCCTCATTATTGTCTTGCCCTCGCCGCAGGAGAATCGCACGCCTGCATTCGACAGGACCTGCGGCTTGCACAGGGCACTCACGCTTTTCAACGAGCAGTGGAACTGACGTAGCTTGTTCATCTTGACTGGCGGGCTGATTGGTTCGCTGGCTGGCTTGATTGATTATATTATGATACTTTGGAAATCGGTTTAGGGTTTACGAAAAATCCCCTCAAACGTTACGCACTAATACGATAAATTTTGGGCGATTAAAACAAGTCCGTCTGGTTCCACACTCGAAATTTTTCAGAAAAACCGAAAAAAAAAGGTTAAGAAAAAGAACCAACTAAAATTTTTCTGGGGACTTTCTAAAACAAACGATCTGTTCTCTACCGGCGTACAAATAAAATGATACTGAACATATTGGGGCCCTACACATGGTAGACAAATTGTCATTGAAACTCCAAGGAGAACGTGATTCAAAATTATTCGTATAGTGTTGGTGAAATTAGTAACTTCTAGCAAGGCTCTTTAAAAAACGGTTAATTTATGTTATATTTTGAAACATTGGCGGATCTAGGATTTTGTTGTGGGGGGTGATATCAGAACCATTTTTTGGTTGCATACTTTTTGAATACCAAAATTGGTTTAATTTCACCCGAGTGGGGGTGATATATCACCCCCTGTGGATCTTAAAAAGTAATTATACTTAATTTATTAGAGGTAAGGGCGACATTTTGTGCATTTGTATACCCTTTTCTAATAATTTAGAATTCTTTAGAAGTTGGCAAGGCATTTATTGAACATACTTTCGACTCTTTAAAGGATATATATTTCTTGATTAGTCTCTCAGTTATAAAGCTATTTACATTAAAACTACCTCAAAAGACTTCTTAGACTCGTGACATAATAATTTTTTTTAGCCCAATCAATTTATTTTTAAATAAAAATTATTGAAGGAACTATTGCTGTGTTTATATTCAAACCGACCAAAATAAAAATTGCGAATATTCCTTACATGTGTTTTTAAGTACACCTAGTAATAACGCAATAGCCTTCGTTTTTACTCCAAGCAAATTATTTTTAAAGCAAAATTATTGAAGAAAAAACTCATAT